CACAGTATAGCACGGCAGTGTTTGCCCACCCATTGTTTTGGCAAGGTGGCCCGGCCCTCCCAAACGATCACTCGCCCCCCTTGCAAGAAAGAAATTTTATTATGCGGATAGAATCACAGACTTTAACAAACAAAATGAAATTAACTATAAAACGCGGAATATTGTGGAATCTGCCCAAATGTTGGTGCAGTTGAATTGTTGAAATGTTATTCACCCATCACAGGATTACATGACAACATGTACTTAAATTGCAAAACACAAGAGACAGAAAACACTTAATTTGTAAAAAACAAACTGGAATCTGGCAAAAATTAAAACAGATTTCATGGCTCTCTTTCATGGTCTTTGTCGCCCAATATCTAAATATAGCGTAACTATATTAAGCTCCATCAGGAGGCTGTAACCTGAGCGGTTAATATGTTGAAGAGGAATGTCAGAAGGTGACATTTCTTCAGTACTTAAGTAAATTTGCTTTGCTGTTATGTAAAGAAAGAAAGAGGAAATACCCCCAGATGCTTGAAAGTAATGAAGAGTGTAACCATTTAAAGCATTGTGGGATCATTTGAACAGGAATCAACACTCCCAATGATACGTGATTATTTGAACATCTGCATGTCCCGCAGAGCCTAACCTGACATCGATCGTACATTCAGTAGTCAATATCTGAAGAAAACGAGACTCTGCTGTCTGTTTCTTTCTGCTGGGGGAAGATGGATTGTTGTTTGGCTGAGAAGCATACCGAAGGATCAGAGACAAGTTTGATCACGACTTTACGGAGGAGGAGCAGGAGGAGGAGGAGGAGCAGGAGGAGGGAAAGTTACCTGACACCCAGAGGGTTTAGTCCATATTTTTTATTTTGCTTCTGTGAGTGAACAGATGAAGTTGTTTGTTGACGGAGGCCTCTGGTATCTCAGCCTCCAGTGAGTTTTTCTGGGTGTTTTGAGTATTTCAGCTTCGTGATAACGCCGAGTCTCCACGTCAGTCACCAGCTGTACATGTTGTGTGTGTGCCGTCATCTTACCTTGTGTTTTCAAAGGGAAGTGGATGTGTCGGGTGATTTAGGAAGGGTGTGTGTGGAGGGGGAGGGCGGCAGCTTCCTGTCTCGGGGGCTCACAACAGACGGTCCTTCCTGGACCTGCCTCGTCTTGCCCTCCGTCCTCCCTCTGTCTGAATGTGTCTTTGTGTGTGTTATCTCACCCTGCTGCTGCTGTCGGTCTGTAAATGGACCGAAGAGCCACAAACAAACTTGAGGTTTTGTTGTGGCAGCGAGGTGAAGATATTTCCACTTTCTGTTATCAACATTGTGACGCCGACGCACAGACAAGTGTGTGTTTGTGTGTCAGGACTCACGTTAACCAAATATCCTGTTATTGACTGAATTTTTAAAGCAGTGACGGGACAATCTGAAGGGTCTCCGTCATTTTGACAAATTTAACTCAAATGAAACCTGCAGCAGACCGCCTGTCCTGCTGGTGGCGGTGTGCAGTTTGGTCTTTGACCTCGCATGCAGGACCTCGTTATCTAGCTGGCTTTAGCCATCGTAGGCTATATCGCCATATATCGCTAAAGCAGCCACTATCACAACACGCACTCAGTCTGACGCACTGATCCTCTTTCCTTTCCTCTGTCTGTTGTTCACATTTCTTATATGGACTTTGTAGAGCGCAGCTGTAGTTGTTGAAAAGATTTAACACTGCAGTCTATTAAAAACTATTACAGCTGTGTCTGCATCGTGAGGTCTGATTGCAGTTTCTCTCCAGAGAAAAATGTGCAAATGGAGTCCAAAAAACTGAATAATCTGCCTCCTTGTCCGTTACCTGCAGCATAAAGATTTACATACAACAAGGTGTCGCCCTTCAGGCTCATGAAATCCACTGTACGGTCTTGAAAAGTTGACGTCTTGGTAATACATTTTTTTTACTGACGAGAAATATCATGTCATCGGACTCTCCCCGGGTCCAGTTGAAGTTTTGGCAACGTGACGCTAGAGCCTGGGCGAAACGGCCAAGAATGCCGTCACGATAAAACATTTCATTTCATTGGATATTGATTATCAATATCAAATCAGTTTAAAGGTTGATTTTTGAAAGTTAAAGAAACCAACCCGTTTCCCAGCGGGCCGCCACCATCCAGCAAGTCTAATTTTAAAACCTGAAGAAAAACTAATGTGAATAACTAAATTTTTACCACAATAAATGCTTCGACCCAGCGTGTATTACTGATGACGAAAACCCTCCTTTGCACACTGTTGAGGCCAGTGAATCCAGCTCCTCTGACATGAACGCCGTTAAAACGAACGCTCGTACCGCCGAGACAAACGAGCTTTTGTATCACGTCATGTAAACCAGTCTTCTCTGCCGTCGCCCAGTCAAAGGAGGGCAGTCTCTCCCATCATAGCCTGCAGGAGGCCTGTCAGTGTTTCCTGACTCATGATGAGAGCTGGATGCATGTGATAAAATAAAATTAAGCTATTTATTTTCTGCTTTTAGTTTATGACCAGGATGCTTTCACAATGTGGCGAAATAAAAGTTTTGAAAGTGTGGCGCCGTGTTTGTCTGACATGGACATAAATAATGAGGGTAATGGCTCAGGGAAATGCCCAGTGCCTGAAAATGTGGCCCCCAGAACAACAACAACTCGCACACTGTGCTTTAGGGGCGTATGGGAGTGAAGTACTCTCGCTGTAGAGCTCGTATTAATACACACATGTACACACAGCCTGTACGCTGCCCTGTGTGTGTCTTTGTTCTCGGAGATGTGTGAAAAGTGGGTCACAGGTCGGACCTCTTTGTCCCCCCCGGGCAAATGAAAAGTGACAGACACCGGCCGTGCATCTCCGCTAATTCGCTCACACGCCCCTCGGTCCCTCTCGGCGCCCACTAATTGCGACATGCCGATATCAGAGCTGCGCGGGGCCAGCGTCTGTAATTGCAGAACATCCTTGGACAAATAATTTGGTAGTTAGTTAGACCGTCGGAGGCCAGCGCCGGGCAGGCAGGGGTCACCGGGTCACAGGGGGACGGAGGGAGAGCCGGAGCCGAACCAAAGCCTTCTTTAAAGTGTGTTCTGCAGAGCAGCACGGCAGGCTGTCAGAGTCTTTATGAAGTACGTCACAATAAAAGCAACTCATTTAAATGGGAAATCAGGAGCGGTGGAAACTCGTTCTGCTCGCTGCGGAGCGTCCGGATGACAGAGCTGTCGGCCGCAGGAGAGACTTCATAACTCCGCTATGAGCAGGATGATGTTTTCAGATCAACAGTTTCATGGAAACGCTGAACATGAGCCGTGTACGTAGGGCCGCAGCTAATCAACCAACAGAATTGGCTGCTTTGATTAACAAGTTAAAGGTTTTGGATCATAGTTTATCACAGATAAGGTCCTGGCTGCGGTAATGAAACCATTTAACTAAATATCAGACAACTGAACACTCAGCCTGACTGGCTCCCAGTAGGTGGAGGAGGTTTGCTAATCAGAATGAACGCGAGATGAGACAGAGGAAGCAAATATCTAAAGATATGAAATGTTTTACCACGGTAAACATTTAGGCTGTATCGGCTAGCCGCTAGCTTCACGTGGACAAAACTTTGACTGGTCACATTCCAGACGTCAGCTTTCCAAGACCTTACAGAGGATTTTATGAGCCTGAACGGCGACGCTTTGTGGTATCCTCAGGCTTAAACCTGCGAGTACATGACAGTGTTTTCCCTAAGATGGAGTTGTAGCAGCCGAGGTGAAGCAAATTTTGAACAATATGTAATTTCACATCATATTGGGCCGTTATTTTCACCATATGTCTGAACAAATATGAAATGGAAAAGCTAGAGCAGATAAATAAATAAGCAACACCCAAAGATAAGTCTACTGGAGGAACAACAACCTCCAGCGATGTTACATTTAACATCACGTTTGCCTTTTGTGTCTTTATGTTACAGCTTCTGACACTTATCTGTATAGACATCAATATAAAAAAGCAACAGGCAGCTTGAGAAACCTCCTCCCTTCTGAGCTGCATTTTATTTGCACATTTAAATCCAAAAGTAAACGTCTCCTCATTTGCTTAAAAGGACAGGTTTGCATCACTAATTTGCTTTAGTAACCTGAGGTCCTCCGGTCACCAACGTCCTTTCTTTTCCAAAACCACTTTTTCAGGATGAATCAGTCTGTACAGGACAGAGCTGGACGCCAGTTTAGTCTAAGTTTGTACCTGATGTTCTCAACTTTACACAAGTAGCCCAGGTAGTAATAAAATACAGCTACCTGTTACTTCCTATAAATTGAGCTTAGGCTGGGCAATAAAACAATAATGATGATTATTGCAATATAATTTTCCTCAATAACAATGTAATAATGTAAAAATGTTCAATATATTCAATAAATATTTGGTTTAATTCATTTAAATCACGAACAAATTAGCACTTAATTTTTTTATTTTTTTATTTATCAATTTTGTTGAGGAAAAGGGACTGAAAAAGCCGACAGGAAGCGCCCCGTGCTTTGTAGTAAACTTTACCAGCGGCCAAAACGGCGGCTATAACACGGTCACAACCCGAGCGAGATGACTGGTCAGAATGTGATCCATTCGGTCGATAACATCTGAAAAGGCTATATATATGCAGTGGCGTTCACAGTGAGTGCGTACAGGGGAAACCTCTCCTCCAATTCACTGATTTCCTGTTGCAACTGAAACCACGTTCTCTTAGCCAGCGGCGTCCAGGAGACCTTGTTTTCCAACAGGTAAACTAACAAACATTACAGCCAGCTGGCTAAAGCAGAAATAGCTCCTCGCGTTCACGATGCTCCTCATGCTGCCGTGAAATGTTCACTCTGCGCGCCGAATGACAGAAATGTTCTTAAGGGAAGGACGGACTCGGACTCAGAGGAACTTCTCCTCTTTCAGGACGGCAGCCTGAAAGTGTGAACAGAGAAAATAACTCACATGTTGCAGGTGCGTTTGCTCAGTGAGCGGATGTTAAATTTAAACCCGTCTTTTCCTCCTTCAGGGTTTTGGACCCAGAGAGCCAGTGAGACAGAAGAGGACCTGATACTCTAGACCCGTCGTCTCCCCCCCTCCATCCCTCCTGCGTGTCCTCCAGCTGACCATCCCTCTCTCTCCGAGGACTCGCCCGGCCGGCTGGACCTCCTCCCGCCTCCTCCCACCGCTCCCCCACTGTGGATTACAGACTTTCATCAGGAGCGATCGGAGACGCTGATCAGCTGACCAGAAGCTCCCCATCACAGAGCGCAGCCCAGTCCGGGCCCAGTTCAGGTTCCGGTCTCAGCCCAGTCCTGCTGCAGGATGGCAGCCCTGCCGTTCTGTTTGGCTGTGATGGCCGCCGCTCACCTGCTGACCCTCAGAGCAGACGGTAAGACTTTTCAAATTTAAACTTTGTGATGTTACAAGTTACATAAAGTCACTTAAAACTATTAAATCACTCCCTCCGGGATTTTGCGACGTCGTGATCGCAGCTATCAACACAAACTCAATAAAATCCCAGTGAATTCAGTGCAACTGTGTTTTACTTTTTAACCTTCAAATTAAAACCGTTTCTCTTTTCTGCCTTTAACCACGGAGCGCTGTAGCTGCAGAGTTACTCATTAGCCCTTTTAGTTTGCGTTCAGTGAGATAAGCAGGACGTTCAGACGCACATTAACATAAAAAGTGATTACGCCCCCTCCTCTGTAATCAGCAGCCCCTCCCTGCACACACAGAGCTGCACCAGAAGCCTTTTGTTAGAGCCGTGATTAAGAGCCAATCGGCTGATAACGGAGAGACTTTAGAAATGAAGCTCTACCCGGGGAAACAAAAGAAAACATCTGAAAGAAGAACCATTGGTGGAAGACTCTCTGCTCTGGGCAGAAACTGGTGGATTTATCGGCTTCTGAATGGTGTTTGTTAAGAATCGATTAAGTTTTGAATGCTTTGAGTCCAGAGAATTCCAGCAGCAATAAATATCTTGAGGACGTTACTGGTCATCCATTAGTTGCTGGAGTCCATATTAAAAAATACTCAAGCTACAGACAATAATTGCAAAACATTCACGTGTTTGCAGCTTCTGCAGTGTGAGGATCTGCAGCTTGTGACGGATGTCAGGATAACCGAAATGTAGTAGTCGTAGCAGTAAATACCAATTTACCAAGAACAGTGAAATTCCCTGCTTATCTGCATTATTAATTATTAACTAAGTAATTAATCCACCGCTGAAGAATAACTTTAAGTTATTTTGATCCCTGGAAATTGTTAATCTTGGAAATAAACATCATTTCTCAGTTTTGCTGAGCTAAACTTTGTCTTTAACTTCTTTATTCTGCAGCAGTGGAAGGAAACGAACCACATTTCTACAGTAAACACCTTGGAACAGCCTGTTGATTCACCCTCACAAGCTTTATTTGGACTATATTATCAATATTATATATAATATTAATGAAGGAAGACAGAGCAGCTGGTCATCGGTTGATCCTGCAATGAAATAATGAACAAAACTGGATTTGAGCTTCTGATATTTCCATAGAAACTAGAAACACTGGGTGTATCCTAACACTTCTGACCTGTAGTGTAAACATGCCGTTTCAGATTTTGTCGGCACAGCTTTGAATGTGTTCTGCGGGAAGGTCACATTCAGAGCTGCCAATCGCCGGCCTGCAAACACTCTCACAGAGCGGGCCGATAAGAGCGGGGCGGCGCTCGGCCGAGTGTTGCTGACTGGGATTGAATGGGAGCCTCTGATAACACACTCGCTGTAATCTCAGGAGGAAAAGGAGAGACTCTGCCGTCTTATCAAACTATTTTTCCACTCGTTTGTTCACATCTTCAGTCGGTTGACGTCAGTTCTTCTGTATGAAGTTTAGCTGGTCGACGAAAGCTGATTTAAAATAGAGCCCGACCGATTTATCGTTGTGCAGATATTTTGCTGCAAGGTTGCACATATTTATGGCCGTGGAAACAGACCAGGGACATGCGCAGAACGGCAAAAATCGACAGAACGGCGTGTTTTTGAGTGGAGGGGGCTCTAACATTAAAGAGCGATTAAACTGCAGCGTCTTTAGTTACAGTCGGCGTGTCAGAAATGATTAAACCAGAGGAGACTTGTGAATAAACGTGAGCTTAACAAGATCCTGGTTGTAGTTGTTATTCTGCATTATGTCATGGTATCTTGGTGAGCTGTCAACATTTTAGGGATAATGTTTGTTTGTGTTTTGCGATTCTTCTACATCTGCGTACAGGTTTGACTTTCTTTGCACTTGTAAACTGCTTTTCGTGGATAAATAAAGATCTCAGCTCCACTCTCGTGTAACACGACATTTAATTCGATTTCATTTCCAGAAACAGCAGCTGCATCAGAAACTCTCTCTCCTCTCTGGCCGGTCCGCAGCCGCCGCCTCCTCCCTGCAGGAAGCTGTTGAACTGATTGTTGCCGCTCTCACTTCCCCTCTGCACATTAACCATTTCCTGTATGTCACTGTATGAGCTGTCTGCGGCACGAAATGCTCCAAACAGCCATTGTTCTCCGGAAATATCCATCGTTCCCTCTGGAGACACATTCGCCCCTTTGAAACACAGTTTATTTCTCTCTGGCACTGCGAAGTGACAGAGCGGCTGAACTCCACGCGCCGAAAACCAGTTCATCGATAGTCACGTTTATTTTGCATCCAGACCAGTGAGTCGCCTGCAGTGTGAATCAGGGCTGCAGCAAACCATTATTTCTAGTTTCACCATTAAATTTAGTAGTCAAGTGAAATGTCAAGTATGTGTCTTTATGTATAAAATATATTCACTTTATTAGGTCATGAAATCCTCACTGTTAATAATAATAATAATAATAATAATAATAATAATAACCGTCAGTATTCATGGAGCGCTTTTGAAAAACAGGTTACAAAGTGCTTTAACAAGTGCAAAGACAATAAAACCCAGATGAAAACACTGAAATTAAAATACATTTAAAAGGTAAAGATAAATAAAATCAACTACATAAGGAAAGTTTTAAGAAGGGACTTGGAGTTAATTAATTTAAATGAACACATCATCCAGCACTGAAGCGAGTTTGACTGCTGGTAACCTGGACATGATTATCCTCTGCTTTAGTTAATTATCATGACGAGTCTTTAGCAGCCAGAGGCCGGTGATCACCTGGATCAGGTTCATATCACAGCACACAAGTTTTTCTGTGACGAGATCTGGATCGAACACGGACGAGATTTAGGATGCAGGCACATGTGCGTTTATGGCAGACCCTCTACCTTAATGCTGAATGGAAGGAAAGGAAACCCTGCAGACTCCAGCTCCAATACGTCTGGATTTTTATTTACAGTTAATATTCTCCTATAAAGACACTACAATGGATCATAAGAGAAAGTTCTGTGCGGTAATATATATCATACATGGCTGTGAAGTCCAGAATTAAAGATTTCAGGAGGAAACAAAATGTCACGACATAGGAGCCCTTCAAAATAAGAGTATTGTAATTTAGATGCTTCAGTGCTGCTGAAGCCTGAGTGTGTGTGTGTGTGTGTGTGTGTGTGTGTGTGACACCGCAGATCAAAAAGACAACGTAAGAACTAACCTGAGTCAGTTTTGGATGTTAATCGTATCCCTGCTTTGGCCCCGGCTCACTTGGACTCAAAGCAGTTTGAAGCAGCGAAACACAAAACGTTTGTTCTGTGACTGAGACCAGGGGCCGGATTACAGGAAGTTCCTGTCTTCAGTCTGAAGTTAAGACAGAAGCAAATCCTAACTAACTTAAGGATTTTTATCTTTTCTCAGGTTAGGAAATCCTAAATACTCAATCCAACATTTTTCCAACTTTTAATCGCCGTTTTTTGGTCATTTTTTTTAAATGAAACATGCACTGAAAATGGAAAATGAAACAACGATCACTGAGGTGTTAGTAACCTCCGTCAAGAAATCCAAATCCACATAACGCTTAACTCGGGAGATTTAAGAGAGAGAGAGAGAGAGAGAGGGCTAAAATAGCGGACGCAGTCTCCGCCTCATATCCGGCGTCCAGCGGAGCGCTGATGCTGTCAAACAGGAAATCAGTCCGTTGACAGTGATATGAAGACGCAGGCCACTGTAGTGTCCAGAGAGCAGAGGGAACCGCTGCTGGCTGAAACCCGTAGGCTACTCGGGAAAGTTAATAATGACGGTAAAAAAAAAAAAAGGGGGCTATTAATAATAATAAAGGCTGCGGGCTGACGTCATCATGTTTTATCAAAGCCATCAAGCCTTCACATCATGTTACATAATGACACATTATCCAGCGTCACGTCGCCTGCTGCCTTCCTACTAACGAGGGTTTTGGTCACCAAACACGTCGGTAGAATCAATTAACAAGTTCCGCCTTTTGACCTTTTAGTGATCTTGTGAAAGCAGTGAAAGAGCAGCCGTGTGGTTTAAAGGAGAGTTTATTTATGAAGGTAGGATGTTTCTGTAAAACACTTATCTAAAGTTAGGAAATGAACGCTGACTCAGCAACTGTTAATCTGTTATGGCCTATTGCTAAATCACTTCCTCGTCCTCATCACCACGGTTACCGAGCAGTTAGGATAGGATCTGCCGGTTAGGAGGTTTCTGTATAACGGTCCAGGTGCTGAGGGACACGAGAGAGGCGACACACCTCACGTGGCTCGTCAGCGGGACGACGCCCAGCTGATTCAGGATGTAAGTGTAAGTCCAGCACTTAGAAACAAGCCGGCTGAACGACACGCGCTTTACAAATCCTTCCTCCGGCTCATTTTAAGAGACATGCGCCTGTGCAGCGTTTGGGCCAACGAAGACGTACGCACTGATGTCATAGCAGGCTGTTCTCTGCTGACGTCGTCGTGTATTCTGCACGAGGCGTGAGGCGCTCCAAACACTGCAACACTTCTTTCTGTTTGCTGCACAGTGACCTTCGTTAAGACCCTTTAGCTCAGCCGCCGCCGCCATATCTTATATTGACCGTGTGGCGTTTAAGTTTGCTGTTGTCCGATCGATCCTGCGACCTTTTCATTACAGGCCATCTCTTTTTCCTCTTGGTTTTCCTCTCTCGCTGTTCCCCCCCACAGAATACTTTTTTACTTTAAAGAAATAAATACATGTTTTTCTGTAAAACTATTTTATAGCCAAAGCTCGAAAAGACTAAATCAATTCTTCTGAGTAGTGTGTATTAGTATAAGAGTCACAGGACATTTATTTGGGTACTATTCATTTGAGAGAAAATGTACAACGTGGTGAAGCAGCAGAACCAGAAACCTTAGCAGGTGTGAAACAGCTGATCGGAGATCTTCTCAGGTCGAAGTTCCCGTGTTATAAATAGTTTATCCTAATATAATAATATGTTTAGATGAGCTGTAAGCACTAATCATTGAGATGAAAACAAATAAATAATAAATTATATCCACAACATTCAGATTTTTTGAGATGCATTTTCCCGATTTATCCTTTTAAGTAACCTTTTCATAGCAGGTCTTTAACTTGTTTTCACATAGTAGTATTGGTACTTTTACTCGAGTACTCCTTCCTCCTCCACTGCCTTCTGCTTCAGCGCCGTGTTGAGTTTGATCCTATCAACTTTATTACTCTGCATATTTTCTGAGTCACTGTTGACTAACGCACGGTTTCTCTGCATGAGAGCAGAGCGGCTAACTTTGTGTCTGCAGACCACAGCGACCGGCGACCGGGACATGGCGGGAGCTAAAACGAGCGCTCCCTCCAGTCTGCTTTAACCAGCAGCTCGACCACATTCCTTCCTTCATACTTATATGTGTAATTAATGACTTCTAATTTAGCAACCCTGTTTGTTCTCTGCGTATTGATGTATATCTGCTCAACTTTGGATTTATAGCAGCTTTCACGCTGCCTTATTTCACGGGGGTTTGCTGTATGCGCTTTATGAAAGGTATGGAGCAGATTTTATCCGCCTCTGAGCAGGAAAGCTGGTGACAGACTCGAGACAGAAAGACGGAACGATCCGTTTGTGAAAAGCCACGCCGCGGCACGCCGCTGGTTCCGGTAATCTGGGCCGCTATGTGAAAGCACACGTGGTTGCTGGATAATGATGCAAACTTTTGCTCAGTATGAAGAAGCGAATGCGACATAAATGCGGATATTCTTTCCACGCTGATCTCGCCCTTACTAATCTACACCCATCAAACACAAATAACAGGAAAAGAACATAAACAACGACCAGTGAACGCCCCTAATCCGTGTGTCCAAGGTACATCTGGGACCAACACAACCGTCAGATAGAAATTATATTTATATATTTTAAAACTGTAAAAATGGCCACGCAGTCTGAATGAAAACAAATGTTCAAAAACCTGAAGATGTTCAGTCCAAAGACAAAAGAAAAGCACATCGGAGGAAACGCTGATTGGATTATCAGCAGACTAATTGTTGCAGCTGCATTGATTTCTCTCTGCTGCCGCTCTCATCATCTGTAATACCACACGACGGCGTCCACGACTGCAGGTGAGACGGGACGGACAGACAAACAGTCGGGTCTGAAGCAGCGCTGCGTCTTTAAGAGCACACGGAGAGCGTCTGATTACCCAGCGTGCTCTCTGCCAGACCTCAGTCTCCACTCTGACTGCCGGCGCAATTAAACACACATGTGGATGGAAACTGGCGCACACACACACTAACAGAGCAGCCATTTCCATTTCCAGCCTCAACACACTCCCTCAGCCAATCAGAGCTGTCCCGGCCTGAGAGGGGAGCTCTGTGTGAGGCTCTTCAGGTCTAGACGCCGATGACATCATTGCTCTGTTTGTCCTTTTTTGAGTTTCATGTTTTTCATTTGAGCCGTTTTGCCGCGGCACAGATTTCACGGGACACCTGTCGAATTCACCCTGCGAGCAAACCGTGTGGCCTTTCAGCAGAATCACAATAACCTTTATTGATCGCCGCTGGATTGTTAAAAACAAACTGCGCACTCGTCGGGGTCTGACGAGACGCCGGCTCACGAGACGAGATTTTAAAGAAATCTTCCAAGCTGAATTATATGAAAATGTTGAGCATTAAACCGTTAATTAGATTTTTATTTATGTAAAGGGAAACAAAACTAAGTCAGTGCTGCTCTCAGATCTGTTCCTCCTGCAGATCATCTTATTTAATATCTGCAGTCATGGTTCAGTCTTCTCTCCTCTTTGTGTCTTTGTTTGGGGACGTAACCTCTTTAAATGTGACTGTGGCTCCTTTTCACCTCCAAGAAGAGAGAGATTATTTAATTTTAACAGCTCCTGTGTTTCAGCAGCTCTTCTGCTCGTCTTCAAAACTTTCTGCACGTTCAGAATCTCTGACAGGTCCAGAGAGAAGGCAGAATATTACGAGAATAACGTCGTTTACATTTTAAATGTCTACCTGTCCGATACTCTGCTGTGCATTACGTTACCGTACTGGATGAGAGAAGGAGGTGGAGACTGACTGAAAACACAGAGATCTCCCCAGCAGCTCGGATAAAGTACAGCTCACGGTCCCAAACAGAGCAAGGTTCAGTTTTTAGATGTTTTTTGACATGCAGCCTGGGGGAGCCGGGGATTGAGCCGCCCGACCTTTCGATTAACGGGCCTGGACTCGCGGCGAGTTGACTTGATTACTGTCCCGGCATACGCTGGTGTCACATCAGCTGGGCGGAGTTGATTCACTCCGCGAGACGATGTTATCAGTTGTGCAAAAATTCTGTGTGGCGTCAGACCGTGGAAAATGTGTTCAATTTCCTTCCACTGCAGCAGAAAAACCAAAGAAGGTAAAAAAGTTCAGGTCAGGAAAAAGATAATTTTCAGTGATCAACTAATGAGTTAACAACTTCAAGTTATTCTGCAGCAGTGGAAGGAAATGAAACACATTTACACAGCCTGTTAATTCACCCTCAGGAGCTTTATTTGGATTATATATTATAAATAATATTAATGAAGGAAGACGGAGCAGCTGGTTATCAGTTGATCCTGCAGTGAAATAAGGAACAAATGTCTTTAATTGTTCATTTTAGATCTGAAAACGTTTTTGGTGACTTTGGCAGTTTGCTGCTTACTTTGGTTCCATTTAAGGGTTTTCACTGGACTACAAACATGGCCGTCCGACCGGTAGTGAACAAACTGGAAACTCTTTCGTTACAGCTTCGTTTTTTTACTGGACGAAATGCTTTTACGGTCTGGACGGAGGGCAGATTTCCCCTGCTGAGCGCCGACGTCCTCGGTGTGTCGGCGGAGGTTTTAATGTGAGCGAGTCAGACGCCGTCAGTCACGGTCGATGTTGGATTCTCTGGTCGACTCTGAACCACAAGGACCCGGTTTAACTGTAGAGAGGAGGAGGGGCAGCTCAAACAGTAGGCGTGCAGGTAGTTCAAGTCCAGACATGACAACACGCACGGCAGAACACACCTCAGAGGGGTTTTAGTCCGAGCCAATGAGAGGAGAGACGGGAGGGAGCTCAGTAAACAACAAAGTCTGGAGAGGGAGAAGGGGGGAGGGTTAGAGGAGCGGAGGTAAACAGAAGGAGGCAGTGACGGTGGGCTGAAGACAGAGATGTGTCCCCGTTTGAGTCCTGGATCTGAACTTCACACGAGGTTGTTGTTTAGTAAATTAGAATCTGGTCCCGACTCACTTTGCGGTTTCTCCCTCCAGCTGCAGGTCAGAACCCGGACCACGTCCTGCAGGGGACGGGGGTGAAACCCGAGGCTCGGCGGCCCGGTGAGGACTCGACCATTGCGCCAGAGGACGCGGCCCGTTTCCTCAGCTGCTACTGCTCCGGACACTGTCCTGAGGACGCCACCAACAACACCTGCCAGTGAGTCCAGACTCTGAGAGAACGGAGCGAAGAACCGTTTGATCAGCTAATCATTCAAATCTCTTATTGATCTGTGCGTCTCCTCAGGACCAACGGTCAGTGCTTCGCCATCATCGAGGAGGACGAGCACGGCGAGGCCATCCTCACCTCCGGCTGCATGAAGTATGAAGGTTCACACTTCCAGTGCAAGGTACGCGCACACACCTCCACCTGCGGAGCTCCTCAACTCCGAAAACTTCTTTTGCTGTTAAGTAACGTTAGTTTGTCATCAGTACTAACTTACCTCCTTGTTAAGGGTTGAGAACATCAGGTTCATGCCGAGACTGGTGCACCGGTCTGTCCTGCACACATCCTGTCAAGAAAAAGCTGAGAGCTTAAAGAAGTAAATTAGGGATGCAAACTAGTTAGAAGATGTTTGTTTTGGATTTTAATGTTAAATTAAATGCTTAGTAATTATCCCGAGAGCCTGTATAGAAAGAAATGATGCGTCCAGATGCATCGTTAATGGTTTTATGATCGGCCCTCTGAATCGTAATCGAACCGTGAGGCCCTTAACCTGGTTCTAACCTGAACCCTAAACCAAGTCCTGTCTCCCCAGCAGGCCTTTAAACCTGCTGGGCTCAGCATGCAAGTCCTCGCAAACATAATGAAACAACAACATACGCACAGAAAACCTGATCTCCTGAGATCTGAACAGATATCGACGTATTTTGGAGCTAAAGTTGAGTGAATTTTAGTGCCCGTGTGGTTTTTCTCTCAGGAGCAGGACTGGTCTGTCTTCAGTTAGTCAGTTTGTCCCACATGCTCTTGAACTGTCCTCAAAATGAATCTTAGGACTTTTAAGTTTAAGACGAGTTTAATCTTCCCTCACGGACGTGTTTGTGAATCGGCTTCAAGTGCATGAAAGTGAAACGGAGCTTTTTAGGTTGTGTTTGAGTGCAGCTGGTTTTCTGTAAGTTGGCGCTCAGTGAAGGAGGCAACTGAGTACAAGTACTGAACCGAAGTACCAGTTAGAGGTATTTGTACTTTTCATGCCACCTTCTACTCTTGTACTTTTTACTTCTCTACATTTATCTGGCAGCTTCAGATTTTTACACACAAAACACACGAAGAGTTTACAAGATATGATGTGTTATAAATTAAACTCAAGTACAGCTGACGCCGTAATTAGACTGACGGTGAAATTTAATTGGCAACAACTTTGATGGTTTAAAACATTTTTCATGCACGTTGACGATTTGCTGCTTCTAACTATTTTAATTTATTTTTAATAACTTTGAGGTTGGACAAACACAAACACATTAAGAAGGTGAGACTTTGGACTTCTGGCAGTTCTCTCTGTTTTCAGAATATAAAAAAATCAATTGATGGAGGAAACGATCGTCAGCTGAACATTTCAGAAAGAGCTGCAGCAGCAACATCCTGCTTCACGTTAATGAGGAGGAAGAAGAATAATCTAACGTATTATATATAACAGGACAATGAGTACTTTTCCTTTAGTAACTTTTTCAATGCAGGACCTACTTAACTTTCAACAGAGTATTTTAACATTGTGGAATTAGTACTTTTACTGAAGTAAAGGATCTGAATACTTCGTACACACATATATAACTGAGTAGCCTGAATTACATTGAAAGGCCAACCTGTACGTACCATAATTAGTACTTTTGACACTTACTTGTTTGTAAAAGCAGGTACTTTTGTACTTTCATCCAAGTAGAAAGACTTCTAATTTTAGTGGAGTGATTTTAAGCAAAGGGTATCTGTACTTTGAAGTACAGTATTTGTGTACTCCGTGTACCGCTGCTGTTGTATGTGGAGGGAGCATGAAAAGTACTGCTGGTCAGGCCGAGACGGGAAACAGGAGCTGATGAAAACGCTGTGAAAGAAGCAGCGACTTTGTGTTTGTGTCAGCTGGGAATGATTTCCCGCTCTGAACGCCGGGTACAGCAGCAACAGGGGAGCAGATCGTACCTGTTCAGGTGAGGAGCATCAGGAGGTCTAATGGGTTGACCGTGTGATCGGTTTGATTGACAGGACTCTCCCAGAGCTCAGACCAGGAGGACCATCGAGTGCTGCAACACAGACTTCTGCAACAGAGACCTGCAGCCCACGCTGCCCCCTCAGCCTCCCTCAGGTAACGTCTCCCTCCCCGGAGCCGTCAAGGTCTCCGTCAGGCCAACGCAGAGCCGAGTTAACCGCAGTGTTTTGTGTTTTCTTCCCCGCCGGATGTTTCCAGAAGGCAGCCCCCACTGGCTGGCCTTCCTCATCTCCATGACGGTCTGCTGCTGCACTCTGATCTGCGTCACCGTGGTCTGCTACTACAGGTAGGACCTCACCTGTGCGTTATCAACGCCACCGTCTGTTCGACAAATTATTCACAACTTTCATCTTAATGGACGTAGAAACGTTTCCAAAGGCTGGGGTCGAATGGGGCTTGATGACATCTTGTGTTGGCTGTGAGGTGATTCATTCATTAATGTTATAGCGTTATAAATTATAGAAGACAGACGCCACAGAACCTGAGAATCGTCCTGTTTTTAAGTTCTCTTCAGGATCCAGGAGGGCGTCCTGGCCAAGATGCAAGAATAACTTAAAACAATACAGAAACAACTCAACTCACAATATTTAACACAAAGGTGATTAGGCAGAGCACCTTATTTTAAAATCTGTTCTTACATGTGGGACAAGTCCTGTGAGCAGAGACGGCACCCACACGATGATAAAACCGCACAAACCCAGTGCGGCTTTGTAAACAATACCCGAGAGTGAGTCTACGGGTTTCTAGGGACCGACCCCGACAGATTTCAGACAGTGAGCTGAGGCGTTCATATTTAAAATATCGCCGTGATCTAGCAGAGGCCTAGAAACAGATCATCAGATTGTGATGTTTATTCCCGCTTCAGTAATATCTGCTGCCTTCCCTTCGACGCACAGCGCCGCTCGCTGTACCTGTCGTCTCCCGGCTGGAAGCCACTGAAGGTTGTTCAACAGCTGATTAAACCGTCTGTATTTAGAAATGTAATTATCTGTGTGTGGCAGGTATAAGTGGCAGAGTGAGCGCCAGCGTTATCACAAGAACCTGGAGGAGGAAGTCTTCATCCCTGCTGGAGAGTCTCTCAAAGACCTCATCCACCAGTCTCAGAGCTCAGGCAGCGGCTCCGGGCTCCCCCTGCTGGTAGGGACACAACGCTGCACCGGGACGCACACAAACACACACAGCACAATTCAGACTCAAAGTTAAAAACTTAATTAGTCAAAACTATCTCCAGTTTTCTCTGAGTCACACCTGGTTTCAGCCTTTAATCAGTCCCGTCATGTTTTTCTGTTTAAACTGATGCTAGAAGGGCAGAGTTTATTTGTTGAGCTAATTTCAGCAACAAGGCAATTCAAAGAAAAGACATTATACTAGTTTTAAAAAGAGTCAATTAGGAAATAAAAACAGGTTAATTTACCTGATAAACCTGTTTGTTTACCCATAATTCTAAGGTGTTTTGAATAATCAGCCTTTCATTGTTTTGCTTCTTTGATTCCCATCTCTCACACCACTCAAACCTCGCATGATATTTATTTCTTCTTTTTCACAATCATCACCGTGAATCCAGATTGTTTCAGCTACAGTCTAAAGCGGTCAAAGTGCAGATGAAATCTTAATCCTACCCTGTTAGGACCTGCTCTCACTTCCTGGTGAGAGAGGAGAAACAGAGTTTCATAAGAAAGGAACATCTGATATTATTTTTAAAAAATCACCTCGAAAACAGGAGAGTAAAAGTAAATATTAGGGTAAAAACCAGTGAACAACATCTTCACTGGTCTCACGATTACCAGGTCAGCGATTCGGTACCTCGATGCATCACCTCAAAGCTGTGAGTTTCTAGGCACCTCATTACGATTACGAGGCTGCGACTGTAAAACGAACAGGATACAGATGTATTTTTCTCACTCTTTGACTATTTGGTACTTTTAACGTATTTGTAACAATCCAAAGTATTAGGTAGTAATGAAATGCAATTTAACTTTACTTAATATAAATGTAGCTCATATTGCACACGGTTACAGCGTTACGGTTACAGCGTTACGGTTACAGCGTTACGGTTACAGCGTTACGGTTACTGCGTTATGGTTACAGCGTTATGACGTGGTTACAGCATTATGGTTACAGCGTTATGACGTGGTTACAGCGTTACGGTTACAGCGTTACGGTTACAGCGTTACGGTTACAGCGTTACGGTTACAGCGTTACGGTTACAGCGTTACGGTTACTGCGTTATGGTTACTGCGTTATGATGTGGTTACAGCGTTGTGGTTACAGCGTTACGGTTACAGCGTTATGAAGTGGTTACTGCGTTATGAAGTGGTTACTGCGTTATGGTTACAGCGTTATGGTTACAGCGTTACAGCGTTATGACGTGGTTACAGCGTTATGGTTACAGCGTTATGGCTACAGCGTTACAGCGTTATGACGTGGTTATAGCGTTATGGTTACAGCGTTATGGTTACAGCGTTATGGTTACAGCGTTACAGCGTTATGACGTGGTTACAGCGTTATGGTTACAGCGTTATGGTTACAGCGTTATGGTTACTGCGTTATGAAGTGGTTACTGCGTTATGGTTACTGCGTTATGGTTACAGCGCTATGACGTGGTTACAGCGTTATGGTTACTGCGTTATGGTTACTGCGTTATGACGTGGTTACAGCGTTATGGTTACTGCGTTATGGTTACTGCGTTATGACGTGGTTACAGTGCTATGGTGTGGTTACAGCGCTATTGTGTGGTTACAGCGCTATTGTGTGGTTACAGCGCTATGACGTGGTTACAGCGCTATGACGTGGTTACAGCGCTATGACGTGGTTACAGCGCTATGACGTGGTTACAGCGTTATGGTTACTGCGTTATGACGTGGTTACAGTGGTATGGTGTGGTTACAGCGCTATGACGTGGTTACAGCGTTATGGCTACAGCGCTATGACGTGGTTACAGCGTTATGATTATGACGTGGTTACTGCGTTATGGTTACTGCGTTATGGTTACTGCGTTATTACGTGGTTACTGCGTTATGTTATGGTTACTGCGTTATGACATGGTTACAGCGTTATGACGTGGTTACAGCGTTATGGTTACTGCGTTATGGTTACTGCGTTATGGTTACAGCGCTATGACGTGGTTACAGCGCTATGACGTGGTTACAGCGCTATGACGTGGTTACAGCGCTATGGTTACAGCGCTATGACGTGGTTACAGCGTTATGATTACTGCGTTATGGTTACTGCGTTATGGTTACTGCGTTATGACGTGGTTACTGCGTTATGGTTACAGCGTTATGACGTGGTTACTGCGTTATGGTTACTGCGTTATGGTTACTGCGTTATGGTTACTGCGTTATGACGTGGTTACTGCGTTATGGTTACAGCGTTATGACGTGGTTACTGCGTTATGGTTACAGCGTTATGACGTGGTTACAGCGTTATGGCTACAGCGCTATGACGTGGCTACAGCGCTATGACGTGGCTACAGCGCTATGACGTGGCTACAGCGTTATGGCTACAGCGCTATGACGTGGTTACAGCGTTGTGGCTACAGCGCTATGACGTGGCTACAGCGCTATGACGTGGTTACAGCGTTATGGCTACAGCGCTATGACGTGGTTACAGCGTTGTGGCTACAGCGCTATGACGTGGTTACAGCGTTGTGGCTACAGCGCTATGACGTGGTTACAGCGTTATGGCTACAGCGCTATGACGTGGTTACTGTGTTATGGTTACTGCGTTATGGTTACTGTGTTATGGTTACTGCGTTATGGTTACTGCGTTATGGTTACTGCGTTATGGTTACTGCGTTATGGTTACTGCGTTATGACGTGGTTACTGTGTTATGGTTACTGCGTTATGGTTACTGTGTTATGGCTACAGCGCTATGGTTACAGCATTACGACGTGGTTTCAGCGTTATGGTTACAGCATTATGGCTACAGCGCTATGGTTACAGCGCTATGGTTACAGCGCTATGGTTACAGCATTATGGCTACAGCGCTATGGTTACAGCATTATGATTACGACGTGGTTTCAGCGTTATGGTTTCAGCGTTATGGTTTCAGCGTTATGGTTACAGCATTATGATTACGACGTGGTTTCAGCGTTATGGTTTCAGCGTTATGGTTTCAGCGTTATGGTTACAGCATTATGATTACGACGTGGTTTCAGCGTTATGGTTTCAGCGTTATGGTTACAGCGCTATGGTTACAGCATTATGATTACGACGTGGTTTCAGCGTTATGGTTTCAGCGTTATGGTTTCAGCGTTATGGTTTCAGCGCTATGGTTACAGCGCTATGGTTACAGCATTATGATTACGACGTGGTTTCAGCGTTATGGTTTCAGCGTTATGGTTACAGCGCTATGGTTACAGCATTACGACGTGGTTACAGCGTTATGGTTACAGCGCTATGGTTACAGCGCTATGGTTACAGCGTTATGGTTACAGCGCTATGGTTACAGCGCTATGGTTACAGCGCTATGGTTACAGCGCTATGGTTACAGCGCTATGGTTACAGCGCTATGGTTACAGCGTTATCACTGACTTCTTCTGCTGCTGCTGTTTTTATCAGCACAGAGTCAGATACGTGTTGAACTTCGCACTTTACAACGCTGCAGCCAAACCACGTTCACTCCACCTTAACATATCTGATCCTGTGTTTTGTCTCGTCCGCTGTCGCTACATGTTTGTCTTGTCCTGTAAGTGGATTATTGTAATCTGTATTGAGCACCGTGGATGAATGACAACAAACCAACTTTACAGCAGCCAAATAACGTCCTGCTCAGCTTCCAGACCGCAGTCTGAAGAGGACATGTTTGATAACGCTGACTGCCTGTCTAGTAGTTGGAAAACAACACAGACTTTAATAAACGGACACTGTAAACTTACAGCCAGACTGAAACGTAGCTCTCATATTTTCCTCTGCTCCGCTCGTTTTCACCATCACTTAACTGTCCTTTGACGAATGAGGAGAGGACGCCCTGTTCGGTAGAACCACACGCCTCCGGAGCTGCACCGTCTGTTTCGGTCCGTCAACATGACGTTATCAGTTAACCTCTAGATAATCGATTATTGACATTTGTGAATCGATTCATAATCGCCCAAGTCAGCATCGCAATGCATCTAAAAATCAGTTGTTTTCTTCACCGCTTGACAGATTTATGCAGAAACTGAAAATAATTCCGGCTTCTGGGTGTTTTTTAATTATTTCCTCTCTGGTGATACTTTTAGTTCTGATACCAACATTAAACAACAAAAATCCTTTTTTAATTTAGCAAAAGAAGCCAAAGTTCTTAAATTTAGATGTTGTCCAAAAGGCAAAGTAAATAAGATAAAGTCTCTGCCGTTGCCAAATGTCTTCAGGTGGAGTGAAAATGTTAAACTCAGTCCGACTGTGTTCCAGTTCTTCTTCAAGAAGAAGAAGTGACTGAAAATCTTTTCTGTACGTTTAAAGGAAGAAGAACCAGGTCATAAATAAACGAAGCTTACTTCAGTTTTTTCACCATCACAGTTCAGAAAGATTAAAAACAGCCAACACATGTTTGAAGCAGTCAAAGAAAAACAGCAAACAGAAAAAACGTATTTAAAGCATCATGAGTCAGGTGTTTGCGTTGGTCAGCAGCCTTGTTTGGATGTTTGAAAGAGACAATCAGAATGAAACCTCCTCCTGTCTCGCTCAGGTGCAGCGGACCATCGCCAAGCAGATCCAGATGGTGCGTCAGATCGGGAAGGGGCGCTACGGCGAGGTGTGGCTGGGCCGCTGGAGGGGGGAGAAGGTCGCCGTCAAAGTCTTCTTCACCCGAGAGGAAGCCAGCTGGTTCAGAGAGACGGAGATCTACCAGACCGTCCTGATGAGACACGAGAACATCCTCGGTACCGGCCGCAACCCCCCCCCCCCTCACAAACACAAGTTACCAAACATTAATATCGTGTTTATAAAGTGAGTCGCTGCAGGTCAGAGGACTGACTGAGAGCATCACTCTTTAAAACTCGCTCTGTGGGAAAGAGGAGTCGTCCTTTCTGTCGTCAAAGTCAAACATGGTGAAATACAGTAATACAGGTAGAAGTAAATAAAAGCACTTCAAAATAAAGCCCCCGATAGACGCCTGTCCCGTTTACAGGCTGGCTGCACGTTTTGACAAATGAACTCGATCAGACGCCTGGTCTGTTTTTTTTATACCAGTTATCTGGATGTTTAAAACCACTTAATGACTTTTATTGCTCTTCAGGCTTGAAAAATAATGTCCGCTGAGGTGGACGGCGAGCGTGTCAGCTATCAACTGAAGAAATATGTATTTAACAAACCAGTGAATAAAATGATATAACATGTGAAAACTATATTTTTAATGCTGTTAAACTAAAGTGGTCACACATTTTAACATATTCTGATGCTGTTTAATGCAACGCAAAAACGCTGAACCTCACTTCTGACTCCTCGGCTGCACCGTCGGGGATCCTCCTGTTCATCATCACTTGATTCTCATGGAATTTGTTTCTTGCTCCAACACACTAAAGCTTACTCAGATAATGGAACTAATCTGCACAGGTTTTACATAAATCCACTGATTTACATCCAAAACAGTTGGTGCACGTGAAGCATTTTGAAGAAAAACAAAGTCTTGGTGATGCATAATGTCCCAGTTAGTGGACAGATGATTAATTTCCTCCAAACATAAAATCAGTACTTGGAAAGTTTAACAATTGTATTACTCCTTTTAGATGTTACCAAGTTTGATTTACCTGAGCTGCTCAGCTTTTCTGGCCATCTCGGTTTTGCCGAATTTAAGTTGCACTTACAACAGCTTACCAGCGGGTGGCAGCGTTATGGCATGACACACTAGCGGCTGCCTCTGTACATACAGTAAACGGCCGTCCACTGTAGTGAGCAGTATGCGTGAAAGGGTTAAAGCTCGCCAGGTCGCCCGCTTTAGCTGCTTAGATCGTGAATACCAATAAAAATGTTAAAACTTTTGTCAGTGTGAACATGATGCGCGTCGTTTCGTTCACTTCACAGAAACTAATTTAATTCATTTCAGAAGTTCCAAATGATCAATAGCTGATCGGTATTAAGATCACGGTTATTTACTGACTCAGGAAACTGAACGCTTCATCTTTAAAAACGAAAATCCCAAACACCCCCTGAAGAATAAGAAACAATGATGACATAACCGATGGAGGACAGATGGATGTGAGGTTTTAAAAAGCTTCAGCGGTCTTCTTCTCTGCAGCCCTTTAAACGCAGCGGCAGCCTGAAGACTGCAGGACTCCGGGGCCGATCAATACCCTGATTGATTTTTAATTTGGTTGATTTAAACTAATGACAGCGAGCGTCGCCGGTCGCCTGTCGGACCGATGAGACACGCCGTTAAAGACGGACGGCGCTCTGCTCTGATGGACTGAAGACACGCTAATCCATTTAGAGAGAGAGAGGAAACCAACGCACGCCTGAACTGAAGGAAAATGGATCCTGCTATAATAACAAATATACGTCTTTGCAGCACAAAGTGCTTAAACAGATAAAAAAACACAACAGTCAATTTCATTAAACTGTACAATTAAATGATTAAATGAAACATTTCAGCCAGAATACAGACGACTGAACGGCAGCAGGTTTATGTTCAGGTACCGAAGGGCTCAGATTTTTACACCAGGTGTCTGACGGCGTGACGGATGTTTCTCAAAACCAGGAATGCAAGGAACTGCCGTGTGTTCTTGCAGAGAACGTTCTTGCCAGTCGTTCTAAGAAGAATGAACGTCATCCAGACGTCTCTTACAAAATGACTCCGTAGTGACAGAACGTTAAAACTGTCTCACAGCTGTGGGTCTTTACTCTGTGAGCCGACCGGCCGGCTCGTTAGTCGCGTCTCAGAGTCTCTCGGGCTGAAGGCGGCGATGATGATCGGTTGAGCTCTGACCTTCCTCTCTCTCTCCCCTGCAGGCTTCATCGCGGCCGACATCAAAGGCACCGGCGCCTTCACGCAGCTCTTCCTCATCACCGACTACCACGAGAACGGCTCCCTGTACGACTACCTGAGGCTGAGCACGCTGGACACGCAGACGCTGCTGCGGCTGGCGTACTCGGCCGCCTGCGGCCTCTGCCACCTGCACACGGAGATCTACGGCACGCAGGGCAAACCGGCCATCGCCCACCGAGACCTCAAGAGCAAGAACATCCTGATCAAGAAGAACGGCGCCTGCTGCATCGCCGACCTCGGCCTCGCCGTCAAGTTCAACAGGTTTTTACACTTCGACTCGTTGTTTTTCCCACGTTTGTTAAACCTGTGGAGGAAACATAAACCAGTTTCTCTCTGATCCAGAACAGTTTCCTGAAACTCTCCCAGAATTCAAGGCGGAAGTGAAAAAACGTTCAAATGAAAAAATGTCAGGATGTTTTATTATTTGGTAAAAACACGCGTGCATCTGACTGACGAACGTTTGTGTTGCCGTAGCGACACCAACGAGGTGGACGTCCCTCTGAGCACGCGGGTGGGGACGCGGCGCTACATGGCCCCCGAGGTCCTGGACGAGAGCCTCAACAAGAACCACTTCCAGGCGTACATCATGGCCGACATGTACAGCTACGGGCTCGTCGTCTGGGAGATGGCCAGACGCTGCGTCACCGGAGGTACACGCACGTTAACACCTGACGGAGACGCCACCGAGTGTAGCTCCGTGTCTCCGTCTCTCTGCTAACTGATTAATTGACTTGTTGTTGCAGCTCTAATCGAACTCATCAAGCGTCCCGTTTTTTTCCCAGGATTCTCCTTTTTAACCTTTCTAAAAAAAAAAAAATGAAGAAATAAAAAGAACCAGCTGGACGGATTTAAAATGTTTACTTTAAAATTTCCAGACTCCTCCTGGAAAATGTCCTGGAAAGATTGTAGGCTTTTGTTTATGTTCAGGAATAAGAAATGTAGTAACTCTGAAATCAACATCATACTTTTATTTAATGTTAGTGTTTATAATAAAACGCTCATTTATAGCAGCAGATAAATCAGGAAGTGAAATCATCTTCAGCTGCAGGAAAGTCTGAAATTAAAACCCGTTTAGGATCCGTTTGTTTCAACATTAACTTTTATATAATCAATTAGTTGAATTAGATCCAGTTTAGAAACACATGTTTAAAACACGACACTTGCTGTTGAATGAGATGCTTTTAAATTTATTCTCAAAACATCAGAAGTCCAAAAGTCAGCTGATCGTTTCTGTCAGGTGTTCCGGGGTTTGAATACTCTGCTCTGATTGGCCAAAGTTCTGATAATATTTGAGTCAGTCAGTTATTATAGTTAGATTCAGTGGCTCCACCTGCTGGTGAGAACACGTCACTGCACACTGATGGGCTTCTTCCTGCTGTTCACTTACAGTATTAAAACATCAGCTGGCTCTCATGTTAAAATGTTTAATACAGCTCCCAGAAACGGACCGCCGGCTCCACGTGAACTAAACGGAGCTGAAAACGCCAACAGAAGATTTATCTGATGGTTTTAATTACATCATTTGGCTTTTCACCCTCTGAAATGTGACAGTTTCTGACGTTTGTTGTGTTTCTTGCACCGAAACCTCTGAAATGTTACTCAAGGAAAGTAAAAAAGTGCCCGGTTTTAAAAGTACTGAAGTAAAAACACATTCACATCTATTGATCTTACAAACAGCCAACCTGTCTTTTGAAACGGTCTTTGAATGCGTCGTTAGTTACAGTGAATCACACAGCTGATTTTTCCTACTTTAAATACTCGAGTACAAAAACTACTTAAGTGCAGTAACAAAGTATTTGTTCTTATTTATTTGGATCAAAAAACAAACATTTGGCAGTTTTCTGACGTTTTGTCGACCGAACGATTCAGCGATCAGTCGACAAAGTGTCCAGCAGGTTGGTGGGAAATAAAAACGCCCGTGGCGTCCTCTCTGCACGCAGGTATCGTGGAGGACTACCAGCTGCCGTACTACGAGATGGTTCCCTCCGACCCGTCGTACGAAGACATGCTGGAGGTGGTGTGCGTGAAAGGACTGCGGCCCACCGTGTCCAACCGCTGGAACAGCGACGAGGTGAGACGAGCTAGCGGCGCCGCTTTGACCTTAACGTCTCGCGGCGATGTCGTCAGCGGGCCCTCTGGGTAAAGACGTTACTAACGGTTTGTGCGTTTTTCCCGCAGTGCCTCCGGGCCATGCTGAAGCTGATGTCCGAGTGCTGGGCCCACAACCCCGCCTCCCGCCTCACCATCCTCAGAGTCAAGAAGACGCTCGCCAAGATGGTGGAGTCCCAGGACATCAAGATCTGACCGCCCTCCTCCTCCTCCCACTGCCGCCGCCGCCGCCACCGGATTCACCCGAACCCAGAACATAACTCGACCTGACCGTTACTCTTCTTCATCAGGAGGAGGAAGTGGGAGGTATAAAAAAAAGGACCCGTCTCAGGGCTGAACTGTGCTCCTCCTCCTCCTCCGCCGCCGCCGAGCGGCTCATGGCGGCGAGACAGTTTGACGCTTTCTGTGAAAGCCAACGAGACGATTAAAACACTTTAGGTGACGACTTCCTGTGGAGGGGAGAGGAAGCGTCGGCTCGGCGCAGAGGAAAGTTTGGAATCGTCTTCTTATTGTTCATTTTAAGGAGCCGCCTCGCCCGGGCGTCCTGCGACTCTGCTAAAACGCTAAAAACGCCAATTTATTTTTTGTTTTGTTCTTCCTCTTCAGGACTGAGTTCTCCTGCCATATTGAAATATATCTCCACTCTGAAAGTAGAGTTAATTATCAAAAAGCAAAGTAAGGTACTTTTATGATATCTGAATTTTAATGTGTAAATAAATGTTCTCGTTAGAAGATTTTAAAAACGTGATGCTGCAGTGGCGTTGACGTCCGCTCGCTACAGAGACGTCTCCCGTCCTGTCCGTCTGTCCACATCCTGGTCTCTCTGTCTGTCTGTTCGTTAGGAGTCAGTTATAACGAGGTGGAGCCGCTCTGGTGGCAGGAGTTAATCTCATTGGGTGAGTTAAACCTGAGTGGGTGGAGCCAAACGACCAGAGAGCCAACTGCAGATCCCGTTCAGCTGGGAGAGCCAATCAGAAGACGAGATAAGCTGACGAGCGAGAGTTGGTCACTTTAAATAAAATGTAAATTTCAGAGATTAACACTGAATTAACGACCTCAAGTTATTGAAGTGTAGCTTCAGTCCTGCAGCCTTTGAATGCAGCGCCGCCTGCTGGACAAACACAGATACGGCATCTTACAAACGCCAGAACCGGGACAGAAACTCAAAGAGGACGGTTTAATTTTCTATTATTGATTGATCTAAACTGTGCCGGTCAATAACGAGCAGTTTATTCACTTTATGATCCGACCGCTTTAGTAACTCTGCAGATTATTAATTCAGAATAAACCGACGATGATGAAGTATAATAACAGATTAAACCGCAGAAAATAAAGGAAACATTAAGGTGTAACGAGTATTTGTACACTGTGGTATTACTGCTTCTACTTAAGGTCAGAGTACTCGTGTCACTTTGAAAGTTTGTTCAGCTGTTTGTTGAAAAAAATAATAATTTAAAGACGTCAGGAAAAGAAGATATTTTGAATCTTTAGTTAAAATATCACTAACGGAGCTCTCGTCTACTTCCTGCCGTGTCTCGTCCTCGTCGCGCGGTTTCGCTAAATTGCTGCGTGGGTTAACTCTCAGATTTTAGTCGTTCTTTGGCTCCTCCCACCGAGGTTTCACCTGGCCAATCAGATTATCGATCTGAGATTAATTTATTCCAAAAATGACCTTCAGTTTCTTCTTTCCACTGCATTGACATCAGGAAGTTGGTTCAGTTGCATTTTCGGGGACAAAAGTGTCCCGTTAGGAATATTTGGGAAACTCGTCCAGAATGTGGTTAGCCTAGCTTAGCATAAATACCGGAAGCAGGGGGAAACTGTTAGCCTAGCATTGTAAAAGTGAGACCTTGTGGTTTTACCAGCAGTTAGCGACAACAAAGCTATGCTAGCATCCCCCCCCCCCGCTTCCAGTCTTTGTGCTAAGCTAAGCTAAGCTAACCACGCGCTGGACCCCTCTGTGCCCTGGACGCCGCACAGAGATGGGGGGGGGGGGGACCTTACCTGAAATGTGGGACTGTCTCTTTAACTGTGTTTCTGTCCTCAGCAGCGGGATGGCGTGCACGTGACGGCGTGCACGTGACCACACAGTAACTTTGTGCTTCTCTCTCTGTAATAAACATGCAAGAAGCCGCCTGTATAGAATAATCTGTTGTTGTTGTTGTTGTACAGCTTCTGGTTCGGTGCCTTATGAGTTTACCAAGGAAATGAAAAACTCTGTATACCGTCTGTCCAATGTAACGATTTTTAAGTAAAATAACCTTATTTTAGTACACAAGCTGCTTCGCCTCCGCTCTGCTTCTTTTCCCACATCAGTTCCTGCACGATCTCTTTGTCTCTTTGTCCGGTTTCACAGCAGCTTTCCTAAAAGAACGATGAAATCTCGATGTTCTTGGTGGTGGTTTTGTTTTTTGTATTATAGTTGAATAATAATATCTGATACTTTGAGAAAACTTTCTGTAAATGTTTAAATACTAGAGTTTTTATTCCAGAACTAGAAAGAAAGAAAAGTTGGTTGATAAGATTTTTTAAAAAAGGTCAAAATTTAGATGCTGATGCAAACCTTTTATTTAAAGCATCAGTTCTTTGTAAATCCTGTTTCCTCATGTTGGTCCTGAAATGAAAGTTTTAGTTTTAAAACGTACATCTAGTGGCCGTGCGTGGTGGTTACAGACGATTTGGCGAGAGAGTAAAGAAATGCAGATTTTATTTAGCGTGGACCGATAACGAGCTGGAACCGTTACTGAGTGTAACACGGGAGTTAAAAGCGGCGATGGCGGCGGGAAACCGACCGGGAGTCGTTGCAATATAAACATGGTGACATACACAGTATAAAATATTTTAATAAAAATATCTAATCAAAAACATTGTCAGCAGCGTCGTGGTTCTGCTTTGCTTGGCTGATAAGAGCCAATCAGAGAGCCGAGCGCGAGTCATTGTTTTTGTCCCGTCTTCACTAAAAACACTCTCTGGAGTTTTAAAACGAAAAACAGGGTCAGCAGCGTTTTCAAATTTCTCCGCTTTACGTCTTTGTTTTCAATTCAGATCCGCTTTATTGGCATGAATGTATAATGACAATAATGTCAAAGCTACAAATAAATTACATAATTAATTTCATACATTTCATTTAATAAGTAAATAGGACTGTAAAAGGTTTTTGTTTTAATAAAATACATATTAAAAATAAAATCAGTAACCCTGTGTGTTAAAAAATATACTAAATTAAAACTGTTAAAAATGAAAAGGTAACGTGTTTAAATTAATAGACTGAAAAACTGAAACATCTGTATCAAATGTGAAATTTAAACAAAATCCAGATAAAGGAAATAAATTTCCACCGTTTCAGTCTGGACGGGAGAGCAAACGTAGCAAAAGTCTGTTTTAACACCAAAACGCAGTAGTGTGGGCGGGGCCAGACGGGCTCACCGTGTGACGCCAGGGGCCAGACGGGCTCAACGTGTCTTCCTGCAACAACTCTCCCCTCCAGAGTTTTCAGAGCGAGAGTTCAGCAGGTGATCGCCCAAAGGAATACACAATGTGGACAAAAGTACTGGGACACCTGACTCAACCACGGGGACGTCGTCTTAGTGAAACGAAGGCTTCAACTCTAACATTTAAATATGTATTGATCCAAATGAAGCTTCTGAAGGAATATTAACAGGCTGCTCTAAGGTGTTAATGCACAAAATGTTTATTTTAATTTCCTTTCACTGCTGCAGAAAAGACAAAGTTTAGATCAGCAGAACTGAGAAATAAAGTAATTGTGCAGCAGCGGAAGTAACGAGCTTTTATTTACATCACTTAGGCAGCAGAATATAAACGAGCTCCAGCTGCAACACTAAGGTGGTAAAAGTATTCATGAAGTGTAACCGAATATTTCTACACTGGTATTACTTTTCCTAGAGGTCTGAATACTGGTGTCACTTCACTTCTTCTAAAGATTTGCTTGAATTTAAATACAGCACATTTTAGAATTATTCAGAGATGGCAGCGATATAAAAGTTAGTGTGTAACGGTCCAGTCTTTTCTAAATGCTGAGCTGATAATCAGCTTTAACATTAACCTTCAGAGGTCTGCTGCGCCCCCTGCTGGACAAAACCTGACACTGCATCTCACACCAGATCAGTCTTCTATAAAAGGTCAAATTAGGGCTGCAAGTAACTCTTGTTTCAATCATGTTAACCAATCAGTAAATAAATATTCACATTTAAGAAGCTGGAACCAGAATTTGGACATTTCTTATAAAAGGACAGTCTGAACGCTGCTAAATGTCTTCAGATCATAACCTGTGAAGAGGCGTCGGGTACATTAAACCTCCTGCAGCGGTGAACTCAGCGGCACAATCCTCAAATTTAATTGTGGCCTCAGTGAATCACGGGACACCCAGAAACTAAGCTGCTCACAAGTCACCGTGGAAACAAACCGCCCAGCTGAGAGAATAAACACGGCGAGTCTTTGAGTTGTGTCAAACATTTCCGTCTTTATTTAAACGCCAGTCTGTCTACTTGTCCTCGGGCTTGTTGAAGCAGTAGGTGAGGCAGCACTTCCCGCAGTAGTGGCGGTCGAAGTGGCTCGCCATGAAGACGCCGGCGCCGCACTCGTCGGCGGGACACTCGCGCCTCAGCCGGTGGATTTTCCCGTTCTCGTCCACCTGCGGACAGAAGTTACACGTCAGTGACCGTCTTCCATGACGGAGCAGGTTTGACTCTCAGCTTTATCAGTCAGACGGTTTCGTACCTTGTAGTATTTGAGCACAGCGAGTTTGACCTTCTTCCTCTTGTGCTTGTTCTTCTTGGGGGTGGTGTAGGACTTCTTCTTCCTCTTCTTAGCACCACCTCGCAGCCTCAGCACCAAGTGCAGCGTGGACTCCTGAGGGCGGAAACAAACCGTTAACAAGCAGTCGGACGTTCAGCAGCGCCGAAACAACGAGCCGAGTCTCAGAAGCTGCAGTCACTTCCAGCGACACAGTTTCCATTCGTTGTGTCACAATAAACTCTAAAGAAGGCGTCTGTCGAGTTTTCATCTGATCGACTCAACCACTCCTGTCTCAGGGCCGGGACATTAAACTTTGTACATACAGCAGTTTAACAGATGTTCACTGAGGGTTTGGACCTGAGGCTCAGTGTTTAGTCACTTCACACTTTCACTCGTCCATTTTATCTGCATCACTGTTGTGGAATCGTTTCTCTTTAACTTTGTCGTTTGCATCAGTTTTAAATTGTTCTTAGTTTGTGTTCAACCATGTGAAGCATGTTGTACCTCCGTAAATAAAATGTAATGTTAATATATCCCAATTGCCGGCGATCCGATCGACTTCACTCTTGGCGGGTTCCTGTCTGAGGCAGAGTGGCGTGGAGTCCGTCGGACCCGCGGCCTTTGAGAACAGCTGATTTACTGTCATTGTAAGTTTCTACACCGGCTGAATTAAATTCACTGACTTGTGAAACTTGTAGAAGCTTCTATCAGAATCTCAGCTGGATTATTAAACAGCCTTTAACACACACGGTAGTGATGAGACGTGTCACATGATCTTTACCTTCTGGATGTTGTAGTCGGACAGCGTGCGTCCGTCCTCCAGCTGCTTTCCAGCGAAGATCAACCTCTGCTGGTCGGGAGGGATACCTGCAGACAGAAGACCACAGGTTACGCCGCTGGATTTTCGCTGTAACCTCAACGACTGTTTTCCAATTTCCTTGATATGATATACACTATGATAAAGACTTTGTTTACCATATGAACCCTTTCAGAACTGGAGCTGGTGAAAATTAACCATTTTACCCCAAAGCTCATTAGATTAATAACGTCTGGTCGTCCTCGTGGCTTTAAGATGCTGACCAATAAAACTTTATTCAGCTTGTTCTAGTTTTTTAAAGCGTGTCAAACTACAGCTGAACTTTGTTTAGAGTCTCAGATGTTCATTTAAAGTTTCCACTTGAACGTGTCCAACGATGCTGCGGAACATTTCACTTCAATGAAGCCAGAAAGATGCCGATCTCTATCTAAGTGTGCATCAGGTCATCAACAGGAAGGAGGTTTAGTTTGGGGTGATGAGACTGTCTCTAAAATTAAACATCTTCCAGCAGGGCTGCAGTCGTTTTATTCTGCATTAATGTGCTGATCAATCTTTTTTAAACACCCCACAGCAAAAAACAAACTGCTTGTTTTATCAATAAGGATTCTTTAAAACAATCATTAAAGAAGCTGAAGCCACTTTTTAGGCTTTTGTTTCTGAAAGCCAGATTAGTTGCTTTCTGTAACTTTCTGTACAAAATAAAGAAAAATAAAACGTTTCTCATCTCAGACTTCGTTTCCTGACGGATCTAAACGGGTTGGATTCACGAACTCACCCTCTTTGTCCTGGATTTTGGCCTTGACATTTTCAATAGTATCAGAAGGCTCAACCTGGAGAGGAGAAGAAGAAGAGGACAGGTAAGTCAGGACACGAGCTTCCGGTCAAATCTACCGTCACGTGTTTGGTATGAAGACTCAAAACGTGTATGTGACATAAAAGTGCACTTATTTTAAGTTTTTACGCGTTAATGAGCGCCGCTGTCTGTCACACGTGTTTACGGTGCTTTCAGTGACTGCTAGCCGCTAACGTTAGCTTAGCTTACAGAGGTAGGACAGAACATGGCGTCCACTTTCCTGGAGTTAAACACATACAAGGACAATATAAGATGCTCAATAACAGAATCTAACGTGGGTTTATCGCACTTATTTTGCTGTAAAGTAAGTAAAACTCGGGTTAACTGCGGCCACTGAACGCCGCGTCCCTCCATGACGCTGTACCCACCTCGAGGGTTATGGTCTTCCCCGTGAGGGTTTTCACGAAAATCTGCATCCTGGCGTTCAACCCACCTGCACGAAGAAACACAAGAGAGCTTTAACTTGTAGTTTGAGCTGAAACGAGCTCTTAAAACGCGCTGTTTTGTCAGGATTAGTCGGTTTAAACGCGGAGCTCTTACCGCAGCTTCGCTCCTAATGGCGGATCATGAGAAAAGGGGCTTTCAGGGAGAGCGACGGGGTTTTCTCTCCGCGTTTGCACGGAGCTGTAGGTAACCGTCACGCTGCCCGATCGAAAATAATCGCTCCATTTTGTTTCCGTTTTTAGCGTCTGTCTTTTTTTACTAAGCGCATTTGGCGTCAACGTTAGTTTTAAAAACTACATTACGGCGCATCGCTTTGTGTATTTAAAGAGAAAAGGTTGTTTTTTTGTTTTAAGAAACTCCATTTCCCAGGTATACTTTCGCGGTAGCCATAGCAACGCGGCTGTTTGCCAAACGGCTTCAAGTTGTGAAAACGGACATTTAAGAGTAAACAAGTAAAGATGTAAATAACAAATAACGATGTAAATAACAAATAACGATGTCTGTGGCGCGAAACTCCAGCGGCTCCTCTCCAAGAAGAGGAGGACGCTCGACGCCCGACATTTTGGGATCCGGGAGCGACGACGGGAGGTTTTTCCAGACTCTGCGTGAGTTTATCGACCACGAGAAGCGGCTGCTGCGGTGCTCAGAGGACGGGCGGCCGCACGAGCTCCGGTACGTCATCTACCGCACGGTGTTCAGTCAGGTATCTAACGTTACTGTTTTATTTATTTAGTTTAGTTTTAATATATTTTATTTTTTACACACACGCACACACACTTACTGTTTTATTTATTTAGTTTAGTTTTAATATATTTGTATTTTTTACACACACACGCTTATTGTTTTATGTATTTATTTTAGTTTAATTTTTAATATATATTTTTTTATTTTTAATATAATTTATTTACTTTTAACACACACACACTTATTGTTTTATTTATTTATTTTAGTTTAATTTTTAATATATTTGTTTATTTTTAACACACACACACGCTTACTGTTTTATTTATTTATTTTAGTTTTAATATATTTGTATTTTTTACACACACACGCTTATTGTTTTATGTATTTTAGTTTAATTTTTAATATATTTTTTATTTTTATATAATTTATTTACTTTTAACACACACACACTTATTGTTTTATTTATTTATTTTAGTTTAATTTTTAATATATTTGTTTATTTTTAACACACACACTTACTGTTTTATTTATTTATTTTAGTTTTAATATATTTTTATTTTTTACACACACACACACGCTTATTGTTTTATTTATTTATTTTAGTTTAATTTTTAATATATATTTTTTTATTTTTAATATAATTTATTTATTTTTAACACACACACGCTTACTGTTTTATTTATTTATTTATTTTAATTTTTAATATATTTTTGTTTATTTTTTACACACACAGACACGCTTACTGTTTTATTTATTTATTTTATTTTAATATATTTTTATTTTTTACACACACACACACACACACTTACTGTTTTATTTATTTAATTTATTTTTAATATATTTTTATTTTTTACACACACACGCTTACTGTTTTATTTATTTAATTTTAATTTTTAATATATAAATATTTTAACACAAACACACACACGTGCTTACTGTTTTATTTATTTATTTTATTTTTAATATATTATTTTTTTAACACACACGCTTACCAATTTATTTATTTTATTTTAATTTTTAATATTTTTTTTTAACACAAACACACATACGCTTTGATTACTTTACGCTTTGATTACTTGTTTGATGAAATGTATGGGGTTGATTGTTCTTATGTTGTATGTATGATGCTTTGGCAATATTGTTGTTACACATTCATGCCAATAAAGGTAATTTGAATTGAATTTAATTGAATTGAAACTAAGGTGACCAGACGTCTGACATTTTTGGTTTGGTGGTCAGAATGTGATTAAAAAACATAATATTATTACATGTGGAATAAAAAAGGGACAGTTTCGTTTTTTATAATCTGTCAAATATAACTCTTCTGAATGAAATCAAGTCCTTTTGAGGCAGAATCTACCTAATAAGTCACTTTCTGGCAAGTGGAATACTGCATTTCATGTGTTGTTTTGGCCATTTAAAGGTATTTTAAGAGGTAAAAAAGTTCTAGGTGAGTTATAATCGGTCAAATTTAACCCTCGTGAATATAATCAAGTCATTTTGAGGCAGAATCTACCTTTCAGGCAATAAGTCACTTTCAGGCAAGTAGAATACTGCGTTTCATGTGTTGTTTTGGCCATTTAAAAGTATTTCAGCAGGTAGAAAGGACTGGATTGGTTGGTACACAGCAAGTTAAATAATGTAGAGTTATAAGGATAATTGCAAAAGAGATCATGTCTTTATTTTATACATAACTCAGCAGGAAGTCATGTTAATTATAGGCTACAGTCTGTTTTCCAAACATAATAAACAAGGATATTTGACAAACACATATTCACAACAGGCTTCTTTAATTGCCTGTAATCACGTAAATGTCAGGCCTGGTTACGTTATAAACTGCAAACACTTATTTAGCCACAATTGTGATTATTCCGTTAAAATGAACGTTAAAGTTTCACAAATACAAACATTTGCTGTGTTTGTTTGCACGTGATGTCTGTTTGATCCAGATGCAGCTGTAGTCCTACATAGATTGGCTTTAATGTGCTTTCTGTCCACGTAAGATCTGATTTCAGGTCTGTTAATCATCCAGTCTATGATTATAACACACCTCTAAATGGGACCATAATTTACTAAATGAACATCATGCTGTGTTGAAGAAGACTTGAAACTAGCGACTGAGACCATAAACTCATCAGGAAAGTGTTTACTGAGGGAATAAATCAGCTGACAAGTAGAAACAGTTTCTCAGAGACAATGATATTGGAGTCGCCCCCTGCTGGCCAGTAGAGAGAACCACAGTCAAGAAGGCTTTTCAGACAGCTTTACTCATATCAGGGGAAACTTTACAATCTGTATGTAAACATAAATAGATGTTTATTGCAAATGAGGTATTTGCTCATTAAATATGCGCTGATTTGCATATCAGACAAATCTATTTTCCAGCACATTGAAAATAGTCAGAAGTGAAACTAGACGAAATGACTCATATTTAATTAATATATTTAATTTGTTCAAAATATACCACTCATATGTGTGACATGCTTTTATTTCCAAACATATTTACAGATAAAATGCCACTTAAAGAAACAGCGTGTAAAGTTATGATGATCTAACGGCCTCGAAGGACGAGGAAAATGACTTGGCGTACAGGAAACAATTATAATTAATTATTATAATTATGCTTTAGAAACACACTTGCCAAACACTTGTCACATGAACACGTCTCTGATAGATATACGATGAAAATACACAAAGATAAAGTTTACTCAGTCTGCGGTTAATGGACTTGGTGTAAGATAGACAAATAATAATGTTTATGTATGTTATTAAAGATTATGGTGTAATAATAAAATAACTTAAAAAAACTGACAGATTGAAGGAAAATCATATTTTTGGTGTTTCGCCTTAAAGGAACTTCTGCATTGGATTTACTTTTCAGACCCGGAGGTTCCTGCTCGGGTCCAACATGGGGACGTTATTTCAGTAACACTTTCAACAAAGGCAGAATTTAAACAGCCAGATCAGCAACAAGCCATTAATAAGAGCACAGGTTTTACTTGGACACATTATAGACTGTGAGCAAAGTGTTCAACATGTTCAACTGCTAAAACAAAATGGTACATAGATAGAAAGAGCTTGAAAAATCCTTTAAAATGATACGAAGTTCGTGTTTAACACTTTCCAAAGTCGTCACTTTATTTCGTCCTTTGTGTTTTCCACTGAAATTAAAACAAAATGTTTGACCCGAATCACAAAAAGAACTATGTTTTTAATTTCTGAGATGCTGACCTGACATTTTTAGGACTAGCTAGCTTTTTTGGCCATATCCTTTATTCTGATTCTAAAACACATCAGATTCACATTAATAACTCAATAAATAGCCAGTTTCTAAACCACCTTTTGTGAGAAGGTGAGGTTCTGGTGTGAAAAATGTGTAATAACAATATGTAGAGTAGAGTTCCATGAAATGTATGAATGTTTAGTCAAACTGATCGTCTGCTTTCTGACAGGTGATTGCACGAGCGACGGCCTATAAGAGACTTCTGCTGACCATAAAGGCGGAGTACGATGATGTCATCAGGGCGCTGCAGAGGAGGGAGGACGAGGCCAGGACGGCTCAGCGAAGTCTGGCGGCCTCGACGTCGCATTCAAAATCCCTGACGACCTGCCAGAGACGAGCCGCCCAGCTGAGGCAGAGGTGTGTTCTCTTTAGTGAGGACCAGTTCCAGGTTTGGACACTGACGACAGTTTGTCCAACATCCTCTCAAGTAAACAACAAAACCGGTCGACGTGAGCGTTTCCCCCGTCAGTCCAGTGACAGGCCGACTCGTGATGTAGTTCGGTTAAGGCAACAGAACCACCTGGGTAGGTTTAGGAAAAGATCGTCGGCCTCCTCATGGTTGTGTTTCTGTCTTTGTGTCTGTTCCAGAATCTCCGTCCTCCAGAGGGAAACCGCAGAACTTCAAGAGGAGATCCAGAGACAGAAATCCTCTAAAGAGCAGACCACGTGGATCCCTGGTACTCCTGAAACTGCTCCCAGTGAAGTGGATGATGTGTCGGAGATAAATGATGTGCTGCCTGTTTTAATGCAAGCAGACGTGGTGTTCAGCGGTCGGGCTGTAGCCCGGTACCGGTCCATGCGGTGCTGGTTGCATTAAAACAAAAACAGACTTCTTCATCGTCCCCGGCCCCCGACTTCCTCTGCTGAACGTGTTAAACCAGTTAAAGGATCAGTGTGTGAGATTTAGTGACATCTAGCGGCAAAAAATATAAATAAATAAATAAATGCTTTGATAGCTTAGCTTAAAAATAGATCTCAGTCACGACAGCAACAGTTACTCACATAATCACTTCCTCTTTAGTGGTTTTCCCTACAAAATAAAAGCACAAGAAGCTTGTTTACTGTAATGCTGTATTTGGAGTTGAACTGAGCTTTTACTTTGAAAAACTCTGAATGACATTAAAAGAGTGTGTAGCTGCTGGAGACGCCTCTGAAAGAGCCGACAGAGAACGTGATTCCACTGAATGTCCTCTGCCTGGAGACACTGGGGAAATGAAAAGCGTCCGTAGGTTGTAGCCCCCCCTGTCATCTCACCCGTCTCGTCCCCCAGGTTTGACGGTGGCTGAGTCTGAGGATCCTGACGCTCTGGACGGGCACCTGAAGAGTCTTGAAGACCGGAGAGCTGCTCTGCTGGACAGGAAGCGTCACTGCGTCCCTCTGGAGGTCAAAGCCGAGCTGGACGCCGAGCTGCAGGCCGCCGAGCGCCACAGAGACCAGCTGAGCCTCGAGAACGCCCGGCTGAAAGTCCTGTAAGAGCAGAAACAGCAAACCTGCTGCTGCACTGATTTCGCTCTACACCTGTTTTCAGACAAAGATGTGAGAATATAGATCAGAAACACCTTGAACAGAAAAACAGAACATTTCGTTAATAAGTTAATAAATAAAGCGTGCAGCTTTCAGACACTAGTTTAGTTTTATGGAAGCAGTATGAGACAGCGTCCCAGCAGTTCCCTCTAAGGCATCAGGAGCTTTGAAAAATGAACTTAACAAAATTCTCACATCTTGTGTCTTGGCTGCTGAAGGCTGGACGTCAGCATAACATGAGTTCATTCAGGAACGTTCCTACTCGTCCCTACTGGTTCTCTGCTTCACCTCCCTCTCTGACACACCTGTAAATACTTTGATCAGCGCTGCTGCAGAATGTTTTGGGAAGAGTCGGGATGAAGGATGAAGGAAGCATCTCAGCCAGTTACACACAGTCCAGCCTGATCTGTAAACTGATCACTTTCACCTGAGACTTTTAAACTGGCTGTAATCAATATTTTAATAATGACATCGTTTGAAACGACAATAATCAGCTGAACCTGCAGCTTTCAGCTCGTTGTGTCTTTCCTGTAAAAAGCCGTCGTGCGGCGGCAGACTGACCCAGTTAGAGAGCAGCTGAGTCCTCTGACCCTTTATGATATGAGCCCTGCTTGAATAACTGTGACCCGGAGGACTGAGAACCTTCACAGGCATCTTGCTAAGCATGCTGGGATGAACACCCTCAGAATGATAGCCAGGAAAACCGCAGACTATAGAATGTCGTGGAAATTATATTCCTGGTGACGGATTGAGCAAATAATTGAGTTACCACAAACCGTTGTCTGCAGATTCCAGCGTCTGAGGTTCGTGTCTGACCGTCTGTCCAGCTGGGAGGACGAGGAGCAGCCGGTTCCTCTGGAGGAACTCCTGGGCTCCACACTGGAGAACGTCAGACGGACCGGCGGTGAGACACTGCAGCGGTATTTAATTTAACAAAAACACCTGGGGAGAGAGTTTTAGCGTCCCACGAGGGTGTGATGTCTGGTAGGAATGTTTTAAAGCCCTAAAAAGAAAAACTACTGTAGGTTTGTTGTAGGTACGAAGTCATGAGAGCTTTTTTATGTGTTCAGCAAACACAGCTCCTTCGGTTTTTACTGCTTCTAAAGCTCTTGTTGCAGCACTGATGGTAATTTATTCAGAATGCAGTAATGATCACACGAGTACTTAAACCTCCTCGTGTTTGATCCCGCAGTGACGGACGATGACGCTCGCAGCATCGACGCTGAGCTGTTTGAGGACGAGGAGCCGACCGGAGTCAGCGAGTCCGGGCTCCTGGCAGACTGCCTGGACAGGTGCTGCGTTCACTGACACGCTATGATCGGTTTATCTGAACCCTGCGGGCTCTCTGTCAACCTTTCCTCCTCTCGCCAGGTTCATCGAGCTCTTTGATTCGGCTCAGTATGAGGAAGCTGCTCTGCTCGCCGCCAGATCTCCTCGAGGAGTCCTGAGGAACCTCCACACCGTGGAGATGTTCAAAGGTGCACTTTAAGGACATTTCCCTCCTTACACTCTCAGGAACACTTTAATGCTTTGAGTATTTTTACAGTGTGGTATTAGCACACATGAACTCAGGGCTCTGAGTACTTCCTCCGCCGCCGCTGGACGTGTATGTAAAGGTAAAACCTGATAAGTTGGACGTTCCATGATTTATTTGACCTTTTTTTTTGTTGTTTTTTCATTTTCCAGTCAATTTGGGGGGCAACAATTTAATCACAGTGGTCTCCTCTCTCATTGAAACATTTTTATAAATCAACATAGATGAAGAGGAAGTACAAAAGCACAGATGAATAAAGTACACATCTCGAATTCTAAATAATGAAATACATTATTTATTCCATCACCTCCCCGACTACCCTGTGGCCTAAAGTTTTAAAGAACCAAGTTATACTTCAGTCTTACACCAGGAACTAGAATTTCCTCACTTGACATAACCCTGGTTTAATTTGTTAGTCACAGTATTTCAGTTACAAATAATGATGAGAGAAAAACCTGATAAGAACAGTAGATATATAAAGACCAGAACGTTGGGATATAAAGTTTGTGTTTATTGGTTCATCTGAGTCCTGTCTCTCTCTCAGGTGTGAAGGGCCCCCCGGGGTCCGTCCCCCCTCTCTTGCTCTTCCTCCAGGCCCTGCTGATGACCGTCCCGGCCGGCGACGAGCTGCCAGCCGCTCTCTCCCTGCAGGTCGTCCGCCGGGCCCTGCGGCACGGCGCCACACGGCTCGTCGCCCACGCTGTCACCCACAGCAAGTAAAAACCGCCGCCAATCATAGCGTTTGATCCCCGCTGCTGCTGCTGATCAGGTCCTCACAGTCCTTATCCTCTCAGACTGACCTTCTCTGAGGCCCTGGGCGACATCCTGTCTGAGCATGCTCAGAAGCACCCCGGCGCGGCTGACATGTGCCTGGCGTTGGCCACCGTCGTCTATGAGGCCTGCAGGCTGCACAGGAAGAGCGCACTGAGCATGTGCAGGAGAGGCCTGATCCACAGCGCTGTCGACTTCATGAAGCACTGCGAGGACCTCACAGCTGGTCTGTGTGTGTGCGGGGGGGGGGGGGGGGGCTTATCAGAACAACCTCTGTATGAATCTCTCTCTCTCTCTTCAGAGGACTGTATGTGGGTTCTGTGTCGCTCGCCCGGCCTCTCCCTCCTCCAGCTGTTGACGGAGCCTCAGCGGGGCCAGGCGGCCATCTTGTCAGTGGGCGTGGCCCTTTCCACTCTGCTGGCGGACCCTCAGCTGCAGGATCTGGCTCTGCAGCTCCTGGACGGCCTGGTCAGCAGAGGTCCAGGTGCGTGGACCGACAGACAAACTGTAAGGCAGACACATAAATCTCCAGTGTTTCCCAGACTATGGCTGGTGGACCCGGGGCCCTCTGGGGGGTCCAGAGCCATGCCACCAGAAGTGAAAAGCATTAATCTGGTTCACTTTAAAATGAAGAGGCTTAGTGCTCTTAGAAGCAATTGGATCATAAACACATTGTGCAGATATAAAGGGTGGACACGCGCGAGAGAAATGAAGTCAATGTTTAGCTGTGTTGAACTGGTTTTTCTTTCCTATTGGCGGAGTTTGCACCGTGAATCTGGACATTTAATTGAAAAGAAAACACTTCTAAAGCTCTTCTGTAAATGAATAACTTTGGGCGCAGCTAACAGACGAAGACATTCATGCAGGCACACTGTGATTTTAAGGTTTAGCTGAATGAAAATGTGAGGTGCTCTCTTTCTGAAATATTACTCAGGATCTGAAAATCAAGGGAACAAACACTGAGCTTCAAACAGCAGCGTAACTTTAACTTGATTAGTAACGCCCAACATTATGATAACTCCTGCGTTATGTGTGTTTGCTGCCGCACATGTTGAAGAGTTAACGTGAGCCAGGTTCAGGTGTGATGAAGGAGTTTTGGAGACTTAACATGGCGTTGTTTCTTCTGGAGGATCTTTTGGTCCCTGTTATGTTTCCATCTTCCCCTTTGTGCCTGTAGGTTTCCCTCTTAGCTCATCTTTAGCCGGCCTTAACCTACAACAACACATCTATCTGATGTTTAGACTCCAACGCTTCATCTTTTTGAACCCTGTTCCATCAATGGAGCCCCCTGGGAATATTCTTTACCAGCACACAGATAATGACGAGTTGCGAGTTACCGCTTCATGGCGGTACAAATTAGACAGCGGCGAGCCGTCTAATTTGTTGGGAAACACTGAGCTCTTCAGCGTGATATTTTTAAACCGTTTATCCCCGGTGCCTCTGTAGTGACAGCGTCAAGCCGCTGGAAACACAGATCCTGAATCTGATCGTTGATAATAAAACAGGAGGAAGAAGAAGCAAAGTAACGAAACACGTGACCTCTGACCTCGCCGTGTGTCTCGGTCCTCTCAGGGGTCCTGGAGGAGGCGATCCTGGAGGACAGCAGCTGTTCGGTGGACCTTTGGACTGACATCGCGTCTCTGTGCTCTGAGCTGAACCGTGCTGACCTGGGCCGGGCCGTCCGGTCCGTCCTGCTGGACCAGAGCGGGACCAGAGTCCTGTCCCCGGACCTGGAGGGGGCCCGTCTCATGGAACACGTCTTCCTGTGAAAACCGGTCCTCCCACAGGTAGAACCATCGTTGTGTAGGACTCTTTAAGTTTCTGTGTTTACACGCACACATGTTTGGTGAAATTTAAAGACTTGAAACTGTCGTCCAGGCCACAAAAGTGAAACCACCCCGTGAATAAACACTTGTGTTCTTCTGCTAAAGACTCATTAAAGATGTGAATCTGTTTTTATCGCCTTTGTTCAGTGAAAACTTTGTGCAGGTTTCTGTCACCATGATCACGCCCTGATCACGTGCTCCCTCCGTTATCCAGCCGACCTCTGAGCTGCTGGCCCGAAGTGACTCAGGGAAAAATGTGACACAGTGACGGCTGAAGGCCAGAAGGTGGCGGAGAGACTCGCTGACTGAAGCTGAGGTTAAACATTCAGAGGTGGAGCAACTCTTACTGCAGTGCTGGATCCAAAACCCTCACTGTAAAAATACTCTGTACTGTATTGAAAATGTTACTTCAGTAAAGTATAATCAGGAATACTTAAAGTATGTATGATTATTCATCATGCGTACATGTCAAAGCAGGATTTCACTTCTGTAGTTTGTTGAGCTTGAACTAGTTTGTATCAGATATTCATTGTGGATCAATCCACTGATTATTTTCTACGTTAATCGATTGTAAAAAATCTATAAATAGTGAGAAATGTTGTAACAGTTTCTCAGAGCCCAACGTGACTCCTTCATAATGATTGTTCTGTCCAAACCTCAAAATTATTGGAAATATGATAAAATAATCAAAAGGAAAAGCAGCAATTCTTCACATGAACCATGAAATGTTTTTACATGACTTCAAAGATTATTAAAATCTGTCAGCCAAATTCTGTTCTAGCTGCACTTGTTTAAACTGTCGGAGTTTAATTTTATCATATTTTATAAACTCTTCAGATCGGACTTTGTAAAGTAAAAAGGGAAGTAAAAAGTTAAATATCTCCCTCTGAGATGAGCTGGAGGAGAAATACTTTTCCTTTTTGCTCTTCACTTTGTTGTGCGTCTTGCTCTGAGGAACATCTTTAGATTTAACTGGACTAGCCTGCTAACTTTAGCTGCTGCCGCTAAGTGTCTTTGCTTTGGTGCGGAGTAATAAATGAAGCTCGCAGTCCTGTGCTAGGCTGGTAGCATGTGCAGCCTTGTTAAGCTACATAAAGGAGAAAGAGATGTTAGTTTCTGTGTACTGTGTTTATTACAGCTAACAGGAGCAAACAGGCGCAAACAGGAGCTAACTGAAGCTAACAGGAGCTAACTGGAGCTAACAGGAGCTAACTGGAGCAAACAGGAGCTAACTGAAGCTTACTGGCGCTAACTGGCGCTAACAGGAGCTTACGAGCGAACAGGAGCTAACTGAAGCTAACTGGCGCAAACAGGAGCTAACATGAACTAATAGGAGCAAACAGGAGCTAACTGGAGCTAACAGGCGCTAACAGGAGCAAACTGGCGCAAACAGAAGCTAACATGAACTAATAGGAGCAAACAGGAGCTAACTGGAGCTAACTAGAGCTAACGAGCTAACTGGAGCAAACAGGAGCTAACTGAAGCTTACTGGCGCTAACTGGCGCTAACAGGAGCTTACGATCGAACAGGAGCTAACTGAAGCTAACTGGAGCTAACAGGAGCTAACATGAGCTAATAGGAGCAAACAGGAGCTAACTGGAGCTAACTGGCGCTAACAGGAGCTAACGAGCGAACAGGAGCTAACTGAAGCTAACAGGAGCTAACATGAGCTACTAGGAGCAAACAGGCGCGAACAGGAGCTAACGAGCGAACAGGAGCTAACTGAAGCTAACAGGAGCTAACAGGAGCTAACTGGAGCTAATAGGAGCAAACAGGAGCTAACTGGCGCTAACAGGAGCTAACAAGAGCTTACGCGCGAACAGGAGCTAACTGAAGCTAACTGGAGCTAACAGGAGCTAACATGAGCTAATAGGAGCAAACAGGAGCTAACTGGCGCAAACAGGAGCTAACATGAACTAACAGGAGCTTACGAGCTAACTAGAGCTAACAGGAGCTTACGAGCGAACAAGAGCTAACTGAAGCTAACAGGAGCTAACAGGAGCTAATAGGAGCAAACAGGAGCTAACTGGAGCTAACTGAAGCTTACTGGCGCTAACTGGCGCTAACAGGAGCTTACGAGTGAACAGGAGCTAACAGGAGCTAACATGAGCTAATAGGAGCAAACTGGAGCTAACTGGAGCTAACAGGAGCTAATAGGAGCAAACAGAAGCTAACGAGCGAACAGGATCTAACTGGAGCTAACAGGAGCTAACTGGAGCAAACAGGAGCTAACTGGAGCTAACTGGAGCAAACAGGAGCTAACTGAAGCTTACTGGAGATAACAGGAGCTAACTGGTGCTAACAGGAGCTAACTGGAGCAAACAGGAGCTAACTGGAGCTAACTGGAGCAAACAGGAGCTAACTGAAGCTTACTGGAGATAACAGGAGCTAACTGGTGCTAACAGGCGCTAACGAGCGAACAGGAGCTAACTGAAGCTAACAGGAGCTAATAGGAGCAAACAGAAGCTAACGAGCGAACAGGATCTAACTGGAGCTAACAGGAGCTAACTGGAGCTAACTGGAGCTAACTGGATCAAACAGGAGCTAACTGGTGCTAACAGGCGCTAACGAGCGAACAGGAGCTAACTGAAGCTAACTGGAGCTAACAGGAGCTAACATGAGCTAATAGGAGCAAACAGGAGCTAACTGGAGCTAACAGGAGCTAATAGGAGCAAACAGAAGCTAACGAGCGAACAGGATCTAACTGAAGCTAACTGGATCTAACTGAAGCTAACTGGATCTAACTGAAGCTAACTGAAGCTAATTGGAGCAAACTGGAGTGAACTGAAGCTAACTGGCGCTAACAGGAGCAAACAGGAACTAACTGGAGCAAACAGGGTAAATCCTCCGTACTTGTATAGTGCCTTTCTAGTCTTTTCGACCACTCAAAGCGCTTTTACACTACATCTGCATTCACCAGTCACACACATTCATACACTGAGCCTAAGTGCTCAAACGGAAACTAACATTTACACTCATTCATACACTGGCGGAACAGCCGCCAGGGGCAAATCGGGGTTCAGTATCTTGCCCAAGGACACTTCGACACGCAACCAGGGGGAGCCAGGGATGGAACCGCTTCCGATTAACGGCCAACCTGCTCTACCTCCTGAGCCACAGCCGCCCCCCGGTGGTGACAAAACAGCTGTCATGAAAAGTGACCTGAAATAAAAACAGACTCTTGAAAAGTGGCATTTTGTAGTAATGATGAGCGTCCTCATAAAGGTAGCACAGTAGCTGTCACGAGTCCTCACAAGTCCATCTATCCTGCCAGCACACACACACACTCTCTCTGCAGGCCAGACAGAGGAGGCTTTGTGTCGCCTCAGGCCTCAAATCTGAGCCTCATCACCGTGAATGAAGCTTCACACGCTGAACAAACAGACTCCCACCAGTCTATAAACAGAGCCTGCAGCCACAGCGGGCCCACTGTTTACCCAGCATCCTCTCTGTTCATCTCTGCATGTGCCCTCTCACGCTTGTAAATTTAGGAAATGAAGCTTTTACTGTGGCGTGACCTTTCATGTAGTTCCCTTTTCTAAACCTCCGTTGGCCCGGACACCTTTCTCTGTTCAGGGATCAGAAAGTGGATCCCAGAAATAAGGAACAGCACCGACATAGACGCAAGTTTTATGGTTACTTTATTTTATATTGTTTGATTTCTGTAACACTTTTATTATTTGGGATCCATAAACTCTCAATATGTCTTAGGAAGTTTCCTGGAAAAAAGGATGCAACAGGTGTTAATGTTCAGTTAGCACACCTCAAATAACGCTGTCTGTTCTCTCATGGCACAAATTCATTCAGGTGGCTCCAAGCAGCTTCTGTTTTCTCATCTGCAGCCGACGTCTCCAGCTGCTCGTTCTAAAACAAGAATGTATATATGCAGATGACGGCTACATATCTTACTGCGCTTTGCTAATGACTATAACGATCGATAATAAACACAGCAGTGGAGCGCAGGGCTGATGGCGGAAACAACATTCACACTCTCTGCGCTGCATTTCTGATCAATTTGATGTTATTTTAATGGGCTACAAACTTGTGAATGGTAGTGTCACCAGTCAGAAGTGTTGGAACAGCCCCCATGTTTGTAGTTTTTATGTAAATCTAAGTACTTGAAGTCCAGTGAAAAAAACTTAAAATGGTACAAAAGATAAAAGTTTACGTCACCAAAACAGACATTTTCAGATCTAAAATGAACAATTAAATGAAGGAGTTTTGTTCCAGCTGCTCTGTCTTCCTTCATTAATATTATATATAAAATATAAAATGTTAACCTACCAAAGAAGGTAAAGACAAAGTTTGGGTCAGCAAAACTGAGAAATAATGTAAATTTCTGAGAGAAACTATTTTCTGGGATCAAGTTATTCTGCAGCAGTGGAAGGAAATTAACCACATTTCTACATTAACAGCTTGGAACAGCCTGTTAATTCACCCTCAGAGGATTTATTTGGATTATATTATCTATATTATACATGATATTAATGAAGGAAGACAGAGCAGCTGGTCATCGGTTGATCCTACAGTGAAACAATGAACAAAACTCTTTAATTGAATTGTTAATTTTAGATCTGATGAAGATCTCAGTACTTGTTCTTCCACCACTGCCTGCAGAGTGGAGATAGTGAACAAAGGTTAAAGGTTCGGAGGCTTAATATATAAAAACACTGCTTCACTCTTACTGCCGATGGACAGAATGAGATTAAAAGAGCTGAGGAGTCAGTGCTGACTCACAACCTTGGCTTGGCTCCGTCACAGCGTATTGATCTCCAGCAGTGTGTGTGTGATTCTAGTACTTTCTTACACTCTGCTTGCTGATACACCGGATGTTGTTGTGATCAGCGAGGAGCTCGTTTTGGAGGTAGGCTGCAGCTTTGATTCTAGCTTTGATGACCAAGGTCACTAAAGACTAAACACCGTCTCAGAGCGGGGCTGTAGGCGCAGGCGTCGTCACATTTAACAGCCTGGCGCGTACGCACGCACACGCGCACACAGGCTGGTCGTTGGGCGGACCAGAATGCAGCTGGATTTTGACGGAGACGTTGTTACCGGTATCCATGCCAGTTCAGTGATGTGCTTTGTATTTGAAGACCTGCTGTGTGCCCGTTACGACTGTGGTCACGATTCGTGTTGTGTGTTATGGTTCGCCACCTGTTCTGATTAATATTTAAATATGAAGTAACCTCCTGATGATTGGTGGCTAATTTCCCCGCTGTGAGGTCATTGGCGGCCTGCTATTTAATCGGGGAAGATGGCGGCGGCGTCAGTTAAACCTTGTCAGAGATGTAGGGCTGGTCTGCGAGTTTTGCTGACCTTCGGTTTGTATTAGTTAGGGAGGTGAGCTGTTTGTTGGTGTTTCTTGTTTGTTTGTGTGACTGAGCGCCGCCTCCCAGTTAGAAGAGTTCTGTTTGTTATTTTGGCCTTGTTAGTTTCTTCCTTCCTTTATACTTTATGTTCTCGTGGTTCCGTGGGACCCTACAGGGTTCCCGCGTCTTAAAATAAAAAAGTGAAATTAAGGTCGCCGCGACCCTGTACGCAGGACAAGCGGTTGACGATGACCTACTTAAGGTCATAAATTGTCTTGAATACACCCTAAATTTGCTGTAGGTATTAAATATGACCATGGTGCGTTTAAGGCTGGCTCGAACATTGCACAGTGGCCTACTGTAAAACGTCTGGTTAGCATGTATGTGTTTACGCTCGCTGCAGTATTTGTGAGTTTAAAGGATTAAAAAATGTGACCCGATCAGTTTCTGCTGTAGTGATG